GTTCTCCCCCCCCCCCGTATATGGAGAACATTTGAGGTGAGGGGTTGGACTATTTTACTTAGTCAGTGAGAAAACACTCCCACCCTCTGCATACACACACTCCAATAATTGGAACAGGACAAATAATGCGTATTGATGGATTTCTATCAGCTGAAATTTAAATTTTAGTTTCATTTTGCTTTTTACATCTCATTGTTCTGTTGTAGATTTGTTCTGAGTGCAGAATGTCACAGAGGTCTATGATGGCAGAGGTGGTGGCTGCCCCTAGAAAACCCTATAAATGGAAAATCTCTCACACATGTACACACATATTGGTTGGCGTGAAATAATAGGGCTGCTGTTAAGGTGCTACAATGCTGTTAAGGTGCTACATTCAATATGCCAGCAAGTTTGCAAAACTCAACAGTGGCCGGAGGATTGGAAAAGATCAGTCTACATCCCAGTCCCAAAGAAGGGCAGTGCCAAAGAATGTTCCAACTACCGTACAAGTGCATTCATTTCACACGCTAGCAAGGTTATGCTCAAAATCCTACAAAGTAGGCTTCAGCAGTATGTGGACCGAGAACTCCCAGAAGTACAAGCTGGATTTCGAAGGGGTAGAGGAACTAGAGACCAAACTGCTAACATGTGATGGATTATGGAGAAAGTCGGAGAGATCCAGAAAGACATCTACTTCTGCTTCATTGACTACACTAAAGCCTTTGACTGTGTGGACCACAGCAAACTATGGGAAGTTCTTAAAGAAATGGGAGTGCCTGACCGCCTTATCTTTCTCCTGAGAAATCTATATGTGGAACAGGAAGCAACAGTTAGAACTGGATATGGAACAACTGATTGGTTCAAAATTGGGAAAGGAGTACGACAAGGCTGTATATTGTCCCCCTGATTATTCAACTTATATGCAGAATACATCATGCAAAAGGCTGGACTGGATGAATCTCAAACCGGAATTAAGATTGCCGGAAGAAATATCAACAACCTCAGATATGCAGAGGATACTACTCTGAAAGTGGGGAATTAATCTCATAATGAAGGTGAAAGAGGAGAGTGCAAAAAACGGTCTGAAGCTCAACATCAAAAAAACTAAGATCATGGCTGCTGGTCCCATCACCTCCTGACAAATAGAAGGGGAAGATATGGAGGTAGTGACAGACTTTACTTTCCTGGGCTCCCTGATCACTGCAGATGGTGACAGAAGCCATGAAATTAAAAGACGTCTGCTTCTTGGCAGGAAAGCGATGACAAACCTAGACAGCATCTTAAAAAGCAGAGACATCACCTTGCTGACAAAGATCTGCATAGTCTAAGCTATGGCTTTTCCAGTTGTGATGTATGGAAGTGAGAGCTGGACCACAAAGAAGGCTGACCGCTGAAGAATTGATGCTTCTGAATTGTAGTGCTAGAGGAGACTCTTGAGAGTCCCCTGGACGGCAAGGAGAACAAACCTATCCATTTTGCAGGAAATCAACTCTGAGTGCTCACTGGAAGGACAGATCCTGAAGCTGAGGCTCCAATACTTTGACCATCTCATGAGAAGAGAAGACTCCCTGGAAAAGACCCTGATGATGGGAAAATGTGAAGGCAAGAAGAGAAGGGGACGACAGAGGATGAGATGGTTGGACAGTGTCATCGAAGCTACCAACAGGAATTTGACCCAGCTCCGGGAGGCAGTGGAAGACAGGAGGGCCTGGCGTGCTTTGATCCATGGGGTCATGAAGAGTCAGACACGACTTACCGACTAGAACAACAAAGGAGATATATTTACATACCATATTTATGTAAAAGTGTATGTATGTGTGTATATATGCTTGCATCTATCATTCTGTCAAAACTAACAGACAACTTCGCCACTAGCAGCCAAAAACTACATTTGTACCTAGATGTATAAAAAGTGTCTCGGTTTACTCAGAATTAAAATGACTGATTTTAGTTACTGTAATTCATTTTTTTACATTTTCCCCAAATTTCTTGAGCTTATTTTTAGAAGGCTCCTAGTTTCCAGAATAGTATCTCATACAGCAGTTAATTGAACTGACTTTTACAAATCTTTTTCCTTCATCAGTGACATCACAAAGAAGAAAGGGAAAAAAAACCCAACATTGTTGGTGATGAAAATGAATATGTATATATCTTTAGTTTACTTGTTTGTTGTCAACACTGTTCAAAAATAGCACTCACCATGATTTTAGGCTTAATATCAAAGTCCTTTTGACCTCCAACCTGGATGTGTTTTTTCATGAGGCTGAAGTTGTTAAAGCAACAGATAAGCAGGCCACTACTGTTTGTTCTCAGGTTAAAATCTACATCTTCACAGAAATACCTAAATGATTAGACATAGATTCATATGTGTTTATTAAAGGCAATGATCTCTGCTGAGGCCATCAATATGTGAGCAGTGGCAGGATAGTGGGCAAGCATAGACCTTCCGTTGCTCAGTTATGAATGGCCACAGCATGTCCTTATGTTAATTTCTCTTAAAAGTAACATTACAGATTCCGAGCTGCAGAGCTGAGTGAGAAACCCACACACACAGAGAAAGAGAGATTGAGAGAGAATAACTCAATGATGGGCATAATGGTAAGCTGCTCTCCCCAAATAACACACACACTTCTTTAAAGCCCTAAACCAGGGATCAGCAGCATGTAGTCGTGTAAAGGCCAGATGCACTCCCCTAAGTTTAGTACATTTTGTTGAGAAAAAAATGGCTCTGGTAGAATGGGCACCCAAAACAAGAGAAACACAGTAGTGTAATAAAAACAAAAACAAAAGAAAAGCCCATGCAATCAAAATAAATACATATTTCCCATAGTAACTCAGTTTTCTTAAGGTGCTTTATCAATCTAACGGTATAAGTATTGCCCAAGTTTCAATTAATGCAAAATTCATTTATTGAAACAAATCCACAAGGAAGCCAAGAGGTCTTTCAAGGAAGTGTTCAGTTTACACAGTCCATTTCTTTTATGTGCAAGACTTAATGCCTTCAAAGTAGGTGGGACAACCATTGTCAAAGAAACATTTACCAAGACCTGGCCAATACTCATTCTGATAGAATGGGGGCAATTCTGCCATGTTTTCTGTGGAGGGGAGAGCAGCCCTCTTAGGCCCTCCACAGAAGAAATGAGGGGAAGGCTACTAAAAGATGCTGTGGAGCTTTTTTTCAATTTAAACAAGTACCTTCTGCTTTACAAACTGGGCACACAGGTGTAAAAAGAGAGGTGGAAAGATCACATGCTAGTTACAAAATTTTGCATGTACATTGTGTACACCCAATAAGATTCTGGCCATTTGTATCAATTCACTGTTTGAACTACTGAAGAGCAACAATCTCAAAACTAATTCTCCTGTCTTTTTAGTGCTTATTGGTTTATTAGTTAACCTCCTCCTTATTTAAAAAGGGATGTGGTGGCGCTGTGGGCTAAACCACAGATGCCTGTGCTGCAGGGTCAGAAGACCAAGCAGTCGTAAGATCGAATCCACGCAACGGAGTGAGCACCCGTCGCTTGTCCCAGCTCCCGCCAACCTAGCGGTTCGAAAGCATGCAAATGCAAGTAGATCAATAGGGACCACCTCGGTGGGAAGGTAACAGCGTTCCGTGTCTAAGTCGCACTGGCCATGTGACCACAGAAGATTGTCTTTAGACAAAACGCTGGCTCCATGGCTTGGAAACGGGGATGAGCACCGCCTCCTAGAGTCGAACACGACTGGACAAAAATTGTCAAGGGGAACCTTTACCTTTTTTTTCCTTATTTAAAAACTACTGATAGTTTATATCTCCACATTCAAAGCGATGGTAATGATTTGCATGAACCTACCTGTTTAGGTCATATTGCACATTTTGGGTCAGATCTATGTTGAGCATTATGAAGTCATGGATGTGGCACCTGGAAAAGGGAGTTTTGGGTGGTCTGGAATTTAGCCTGCTGTTCCATTTCTGAATGCCCAAAATTGCATAATGGACAATTTTTGGTGTGGCTTCAATGTGCTGCAGAACAGTCTTCAGAGACACATTTTTACTGGTCGAACCTTGATCCATGGACTCGCTGCAAGAGACAAAGGGGTTTTATTGCACTACATCACACCAACACTCAAAAGTATGATGAAGAGACCTGACTGTACTGAGGCTTCTCCATGTACATAACATACATACTGAAAGCTAGGTGAGTAAGTGACAGGACTCCTAGAAAAGACTCCAGTTCCTAATGCTTTTTGAAAACTTGATTAGAAGCTGGATAAGTGTTATAATGGTATGGCGAGTGAACTCTTCGACTTGGATCAAAGGAATCCATGAGAAGGGGAAATTCCTCTTACTGTGAAAAATACTGTTCATCTCTTTGTTTATTTGTGGCCCCTGATAACCTTCTTTTGCTAAAAAAAACGGCTTGAGCTTTGCCAGTCAGACGAAGAAAGACCATAGCACCAGGCTTAAATGGCTAATTTTTTGAGAAGGTGCTCTTTGTAACAGCTTCCATAAGCCATTTGGGGGCAGATCATGGCAATAAATGGTTTTTATATAGCAGCTCTATATTTTTAATTTATTCAATTTATTTATTAAAAATATTTTTACCCTGCCTTTCTCCTCGAGAAAGAGATTTACAATAATAAGTAATATGAAAAAAGGAACAAACACTTGCTCTTCCTCTCCGTCTGCTCTCTGAGATATAAGGCATACTCTCTCAGAGAACACACTACTCTCTAAGCAAGTGTTAATTTAAAAAAACCAAATTCTACTTAGTCAGAAGGGAAACAGCTAGCCAAAGTTGTGTCAAATCAACACTCTTCATGGACCAGAGAGAAGGAAACTGTTTAGACCTATCACCTCCCTGGTCTAATTTTGTGCACCAGATAGAGCAAGTTAGGATCTGATGCAACCCAACTCCCCCATTTAAGCTGCTTGTTAGTTTTTCTTGGCAAAGCCTTCTCTACTGGCAGATCTCTGAGATCAGCTGGCACACACAGGTTCTCCTTGTATCAGTGCATTTTTAGCTGTTGAAGGAAATTTCTGTTGGAAAGGATCTTGAATTTATTCCTCCCCTCCCCCATCTTTGCCTGTTTATATTAATTTATTTCACAAATAATGGCAATCATTTCACAAAATTATAGTTTGAAGCAAAATATTTTTGCAGCTTTTCAAACAGAAAAACATACTAGTGAACTCGATGGACTCATAAAATATTGTGTGTTGTAATTTTTAAACCATCATTAGTTTTTTAAGGAGAAAGAGAAATGACAATTTTGATTTATGGCTGAATAGTACTGAATACATTTTAAATTATTCTTAACATGATTTTCCTTTTGTCTGGTTCATTATCAAGAACCAAACATATTAAAAGGGTGCAGAGCAGTGTTTGAAATCAGTTTGCCAAAACAACAAATCAGTCTCCTTAATGCATTACCCAACTGAAGGAAGCTTCAGTTGGGGTAGTCAGGCTATGCCATGGTCTCTTCCCAATATCACATGACAACTAGTCCTGACATCCACATGGAACATGTGGATGTAAGAATCCCCTTTAAGTCGATAACATGACAATGGATACTGCTGAATATTGATCCTGAACTCAGTGACAGGGCGCAGTCTCTGTATCATCCTGATTTTTAAATATTAGGCTTACCTGGACTGTTCTTGAACACCATGACTGTTCCATAAAACACAAGAATCATCCATGACAACAATAAATGGCCAGACACATTGACGCTTGACTCCTAGTTCCTCCAGCCGATTTCTCTCCAGTTCTAAGTTATGATAAGAAAGCTCCTTAATAAGGAATCTGGCAGCACCTGAAAACAGACAGTGCAGAATTTTCTAGGTATGACTGAGAGAAAGAGAGTGAGACCTCTAAATATCACCAATTTTTTTAAATACAGTATAAATACTGACATCTAAAATGCACGAATCAAATGGAAGTATTCTGCATGGTAGAATCCAAAGAAATATAGATACCAAAGCAAGAATGACTTGTACTCTGGCAAGCTATCCAATGAATATTGGCTGCAAAATCAATCATTTTGCTTAAACCACCCTTAGACGCCGTTGTCCAACAGAAGTTCTTTAAAAAAATTATTTAGAATCCTGTTTCTGAGCCCCTACCCATCATCATAATTACAGTGCATTAACCACACCTGGATTAGGGATGTGACCCTTATTGCTTCTTGTGCTTGAAGTCCCAGCAGTGAGCTTTGCAGGATGAGACTTGGAGAATTCCCAGGGACCAGACATTTTAAGGGTCTTCATCACATTCCTTATCTGGATATTCACAATGAGTAAAGCTTCCACTAGAGGTATCTCTTGAAATGGTTGAGTAGAAGCTTAGTTTCGCCTTCTTAGGTTGTGGTGCATGAACATTCAGCCCCAGCATTTGGAGCCACACTTTTACCTATTAGTTGGGCTCATTTCTTGCATTCTGTTAAAACTGATTTGGGTAGTTTCTTACTTTGGCTTTCAAAATACGAAAATAATTTAAACACTTGAAAGCGAGATGGAAATTGAAGAATCTGATTAAGATGTGTGTTCCTTTTGTGTGGGATTTGAGGTAAGAGTAAAAAAATCGGGTACCAGCTGACTCACAAACCAAAACCAAACTACGTACATGGTCTTTGGAAAGAAAACTCGGGTGTTAAAGTCAACTAACATTTTATAGCCCTGTTGAACTGGAGCTACTTTTATGTCTGAAATATTCTGTAAAGCTGAACATTAAAATATCTTATTTTTAGTGTAGTGGTTCATGAAAGAGTGATAAAATGAAATGATAAAATGAAAGAAGCCCAGATTTTCATTCTCAAATTCCTAAAATCCTGACAAATAGCACTTTGCACAATTTTTGATGAGACTAATAAGGCAAGGAACTAGTTAAATAATATATATTTTGAGTAAACTTAAACTTGATATATTTTACTGAATTTGCATATCCCCTTAGCCATGCTGTTTCTCAGCCTATACTACCTCACAGGGTTGTAGTTTGAAAATAAAAGTGCAGGAGAATAAAGAGCTATATGCACCACCTGAACTTCTTGTGAAAAAGCAGCATATAAATGTAAGAAAATTAACCGGTATTCTCAGAACCTCATGATATGTTGTACAGTATTTCCAAGTTCTATTAACTTTGTATTTTATTTACTATAAAATAGTAATAATAATTACATGCCGTCATGATGATTCAAACTACTGTAATGTCTATCCTTTCCAGGATATTGTAGGTATAAAGTAGTCAGAAGTGGTTTACCATTTCCTTGTTCTAGGGGTACCTTTGGACTGTGCAGCTTTCCCAAAACCCATCTTTTAATAAACAAAACACTTTTATAAATAGGACCGGAAGCACAGGTAACGGTCAATACACTTTCTTATATTTAATATCACAAAACTGTAGGGTTTCAGAAAACTATACCTTTTTGCACTTATTTCTTCCCATTAATGAACTAAAGGACTGGTTAAGCAGCCAACCAAGTAAAGACTGCAGTTCTATTTCCTACCAAGTTATTATAATCTTGTTATTAACTGCTGGGATGACCAACAGTCAGGCACAAAGCACCAGATGTGAACAAGTATTTACTGTATTGCAAATACCAAAATATTCAGAACATGAACAGCATACGCAACACAAACTATAATCAGAGATGTACATGTGAACTAACAGAGACAACACAGGTGAGAGGCATTAACCCTCGTGTACCGGGATGGGATGTTTAATCCTTTGAACCACATTTTGTTGCAGATTCCACACAGATTACGCAACACAAACTATAATCAGAGATGTATATGTGAACTAACAGAGATAACACAGGTGAGAGGCATTAACCTTAGTGTACCGGGATGGGATGTTTTAGTCCTTTGAACCACATTTTGTTGCAGAATCCACACAGACGTAGACCTGCAATCTAGACATTCTAAGATACTGTCACCTAAAGAACAATGACCTGACTTTCAGCCCCATGCCATGAACAGGTTTCCCAAAAATACTGTATCTGTCCAGCAACCAAATCTTTTTGTCACTGGGATATTTTTTTTCATCTGATGGAGCATATTAGGACAAAGACACACATCATACCTTTTTTCAATGAAGCATAATGGTGTGAAGCAAAAGAGATATAGTTTACTTATCAGCAGGTAGCCCACATTCTCGACAGGGGCAGGTATGTACTGGAATTCTCAGTGAATTCAAGAAATACAGGCAGAATGCATTAAACTACAACTCTAGCTACAGCATTAATGCTCAGTACATTGGAATTTCAATGTTGTCACAACATTCCCTAGAAGTTACTCCAGTCAATAAAAACAAACAAACCAAAAAAACCTCGTCGAATTTCAATGTTGTCACAACATTCCCTAGTAGTTACTCCAGTCAATAAAAACAAACCAAAAAAAACTGGTGCATGAGGCTTAAAACACCACAAAGAGCCAAATTTACCACTATCTATGTCTTTAATCTGAATTTAGGACTTCATTAGTTTTCACTCTACATAATTCTGTTCATATGTCACCAACTGACTCAGCTTAACTAGGTTAATGCTAAACTTTCTTTATGCAAATGATTGTTCCTACCTTATACCCCTTCCTGACTTGGAAAAAGTAAAAGAGAAAATCTCTCTCCTGTTGCTTTACGTACCGACTCCAGCATTGTTGAACATGCCTGGCAAAACCAGCATGATATGGTTGGGCCAATATTTGCGATAAAGTGGCATTTCATATTCCTTGACCACGAGAAGATGAAGATGGTTGATGCCTTCCATAGCATGGTAAAGGTTCAAGAGGCCATGCTCATGGCGCCCACTTGACGGAGTAAAAATAGGACTCTTTACTGCATTCATATTCTGTGGGAAGGACAACCAAAATGATTATTTTATATATACTGTATGTATATGTATATACAGTGGTGCCCCACTTGATGATTACGCCGCTCCACGACAAATCCGCTTTACTGATGTTTCAAAGGGCGATTTTCACTTCAAGACAATCGGTTCCTTGCTTCGGGAACCGATTCCTCGCATTACGACAATCTAAAAACAGCTGATTGTCAGGTTTCACAATAGCCACCCACGGTGCAAAATGGCTCCCCACTGTGTGTAGGACGGATTCCTCGCTTAACAGACACCGGAAAATGGCCACCCTGTGGAAGATCTTCCCTGGATGATGCGGTATTTCGCCCATTAGAATGCATTAACCGGTTTTTAATGCATTCTAATGGGGTTTTTACTTTCACTTGACAACGATTTCGTTGTACAGCGATTTTGCTGGAACAGATTATCGTCGTCAAGTGAGACACCACTGTATCAGATATGTTATATAAACACACCATCCTTGTCTCTAGTTTGATATACTCTGCTATCCTGTAGGGCAGCGGTCTCCAACCTTCGGCCTCCAGATGTTCTTGGACTTCAACTCCCAGAAATCCTGGCCAGCAGAGGTGGTGGTGAAGGCTTCTGGGAGCTGTAGTCCAAGAACATCTGGAGGCCCAAGGTTGGGGACCACTGCTGTAGGGAACATGTATCTGTATACCGCAGAGTGCTAAGGATTCTATCAAGTATTGGTTTCTTCACAATTCTCACCTTTTATCCCCTTCCCTTATAAATCATGATGGCATCAACTGACTCCTGTTTTGGAGGAAGTGCTGATGGGTCATTCATCAGGAACAAAAGACTATTAAGGCTGAATAAAATGTGTCTCCTTCCCCTAGCTTCAGAGGCTATAACGTTAGGGAAGGAGGTAATTCTGCTCCCATTTCAACTTATGTTCTGGTTTGCAACCAAGTAACTGTGTAGACCAGTGGTCCCCAACCTTGGGCCTCCAGATGTTCTTGGACTTCAACTCCCAGAAATCCTGGCCAGCAGAGGTGGTGGTGAAGGCTTCTGGGAGTTGTAACCCAAAAACATCTGGAGGCCCAAGATTGGGGACCACTGCTGTAGACTGAAGAAATCCATAGGAGCAGGTAAAAGAACAGCAGTTAACAGCTTTCGGAGTGCAGGCAGAGGAACATAATTAAATACAGTGGTGCCTCGCATTGCAATGTTAATTTGTTCCAGCGAAATCGCTGTAGAACGAAAACATTGTAAAGCGAAATTAAAAAGCCCATAGAAACACATTAAAACCTGTTTAATGCGTTCCGATGGGCTTAAAACTCACCGTCCAGCGAAGATCCTCCATAGGGCGGCCATTTTCGCTGCCTATCTTGCAAGGAATCTGTCCCTAAACACAGCGGGGAGCCATTTTATTTACCCGGTGGCCATTTTGAATGCGCCGATCAGCTGTTGGAAAATCATTGTTTTGCGAAGAATCGGTTCCCAAAGCAGGGAACCGATCATCGCAAAGTGAAATTCCCCCATAGGAAACATTGTTTTGCGATTGCAAAAGCAATCGCAAAAAGTTCATCATAATGCGATTTTTGTCGTTAAATGAAGCGATCGTAATGCAAGGCACCAATGTACAGCCTTTCATACCAATATTTACCAAACTTCTGAGAATAGGTCAGAAACAATAGCAGGAAGTTACCTGTGGCTGATGCCTTAAGCCAAGAATGTTATCTAAGGAATTGCTTCCATAATGGCTACAACAATCAAAAGTTTTGGGCTGTCTTTAAAACTATGACATATATTACAGCATGAAATTTCACGGGATACAGTTCACTCCATTAGTTGCATGAAGTGTTACCTTGAGTAATAGGCATACACATATTAAATAAAGATAGCTATGTTGATCCATCAAGAATAAAACAAAATCCAAAATCCACAGGCAAACTATATGAGGACCAATTACAACTGCACAACCGAGAAATTTTAGTTTTTCTGTTTTCATACTACTGTAAAAGTATAAATGTTTCTAATACAGTCACTGACCTCCTGTTGGGTTCATACATAGTATATATACTGGGGTTTGTTCTATAATACATAGTTTATACTAGGGGTGGTATTGTAGGCAGTGAGGTTAAAAGGAATTGATGCCGACAGTCTTCTCAGTGACAGTTACACTACTGACATTAGCCAATTGTTCTGAGTTCCACAGCATCCTCAACCATAGTTCAGTTAAGGGTGGATTCAAAATGCCATTATATACATCCTCCTTATTAGTAACTTTCCAAACTTTGCTATTTGATGTATACTTTGATCTGTTTCAAGAAAGAGAAGTACAATTGTCCTATTTTAAGACAATGTTATTTTTTAGCAACTGGGGCATCTAGTTATATACCAATACCCATTTTGGGGGTTCTTGCTCATTGGGTTGTAGTTCAACTATTTGGATACACCAGTCAGTCAGTGGTTCAGTACAGGTATTGTACTAGATTATCCAGACCATGGTTTGAAAAAGTAGAATCACTGTAGATTTATCTCATCTTTTGCCCCTCAACTTTACCAGGCCTCCAAAGCATGGATTTCTTCTTCCCCTTCCTCTTTTGCACACCTATAATGTGTATTAATAGTCACAGTAAGCAAAAATATGGTGAGAAATGACCTTCAAACTGTGATTACAAGCTGCAATCACAGTTTCCAGAGTCTACATGTGTAAGATAGGAAGCACAGAGAACTGCTGCTGGAATAGTTTGTGAAAAAATATGCCACAAAAAGTCCTTACAGTGAGCAAAGATAGAATCATACGAGCACTTCCTGTAGCATATAGTAATCATTATAGTTCTAACCATATGGAGACACCAGCCAGCATCTTGCTGAGTTTTTGCTGAGTGGAAAGCCTTGCTTAGTATGCTAACACAGGATTGCACCCCTTGTATAGCACTGTCGCTGCACAACTACAGGAGGGCAGGCTGCCAGCAATTTTCCAACATTAAAGGCTCCCTTCCGAACCTGAGGCTCCCAAAGGCTTCTCCAGAGCAAAAGGGATCCCTAGGGAGATTGGCAACCTAAAGGGGAGGTTAGGAGATTTGAATTGATTTTTTTTGAAACAGATGCCACTCACCTTATCAGACACAAGAGGAAGACGCATACTTTCCAAATGCTTGCCCTGCTTGCTGAAGACAAAATAGCTCTCTTTGGATTTCGGGATTATAAAATGAAGCTGAATTTCTTCTCCCAACATCGATGATGAGAATGTAAATGCATGTAGGGTGGAGTCAGGCATCTGCATACAAAGGAGAGAAAGAAACTGTGACCTTCTAAAGAGACCACATGCTAACATGAGCACACAGTATTTCTGCTTTATAAGCCTGCTGAAAGGATATGGTGCCTGCATCCCATGGTTGAAATCCTATTCCCCTTTTACCTAGTTTGAGACAGAAGGCGAGAGGGATACCCCACTTGCTGGAGAGCTGTCCCTCCTCCACAACAAGGATACGGAGTCAAGACCCCAGCCAGCACCAGAACCTACGGAGAGACTTCAGCAAGGGACAGAAACAGAGGAACTGAGTGAAGAGATACAGGAAATAACAATGGAGGAGATTCAGGAGGAAAAAGCGGGAGAGAAGAGGAAAAATAGGGTGGAGTTTGAGGCAGGAATAGGGAAGGTAAAAGGAAAGGAAAAGCAGTTGCTGCCAGGCTAGAAATGGGTGGGGATGAAGGAGCCCTGGACAGGATCATGGGAGAAGGCAGGAATAGGGAAGGTAAAAGGGAAGGAAAAGCAGTTGCCGCCAGGCTAGAAATGGGTGTGGATGAAGGCTAAAAGTGCCTAAGGAGGAGGCTGATTATAGAAGGAGAAGAGAGATTCCACCCAGACCCTCGTATTGGGGAAAAGCTGAGGCAAGTGAGTGGAAGAGAAGGCAGAGAGAGGAGAAAGGAAAGAAAGACTAGAATGGAGAACAAGAGAGATAAGGAGGAAGAGTTGAAGGAAAGAAAGACTAGAATGGAGAACAAGCGAGATAAGGAAGAAGGGTTGCAGGGAGGAACCTGGGAGAATCGAGAACCTGAGAGCCAAACCCTGTGGAATGATGACCAGGATGTCAAGAAGGTTCAAAGGTTGGAAGGTTCGACAGGGCAGACCCTAAGAGACTGAGTCCCTTCAGATTTACCAGGACCATGGAACACTAGTCCTGGAAATCCGTTCCTGTTCGAAGGTTGGAAACCCCTTCAAGACCCGTTGGCAGAAGGAGAAAAGCCTCAAGATTATATTATGGACACTTGTTTATTGTTAAATGCGCCAATAAATCTTTCACCTGTTTTGAAGGAACAAAAAACTGCTGATTTCTTTGAGTCGAACACGGAGCCAAAAGCTGAACCCTTACACCTAGAAGTAAGCCCCATATTGCCAGTGGAGATTTTCAAAAATTAAAGAATTCTCCCTCATCCTGCCGCCCTCAATGGCTTCCACAAGAGAAGACAGATCCCACGGGAGCCTCAGGACCTTTGGGGGAAATTGAAAGTTCTTTCTGTCTGAAAAATTTCCACAGCTGATTATGTTGTCAGCCTTATGTGCATAAGGCACAGAAGAGGATTTCAACCACTGGGACTTACTTTCAAGTAGATTTGCATAGATTATGATATTAGACTCACAGCATTACAGAACTAGAAGTAGCCGTGACAGATTAAATGATAGTATTCATCACTACACTGTTGGTTTTAATGTTGTGGCTGATCAGTGTATATTGATATTGTACCACTAACTGCTAGCATCCCCATAGAATCTGGGGTTGTGTGGTTTAATGAGAGCATTAAGATATTTTCTGCTAGAGATCTATCTATCTGAGAGATATCTAGCTCCTCTGGAATAATCACAGAGTTCCCCCACCCACCCCCCAAAAATGCTAGTTAAATCTGTTAGGCACTGATATGGCCTCTATGCATACCGGTGCTGAAGGATTTATGTCCATATATTGATGGCACTGTTCACAGTGATGGAAAGTATTGTAAGCTGCATATTTTGTCAGCATCATAGACACAGTTTCCCGTTTTCTGGGTTCCTCAGCTTTGATGTCTTTGCTTGGTTCTACAATGGCAATGAAGGAAAGCAGACAAATAATGCCTTGTTGATTATTGAAATGACAATAGTAACGTGATAGTTCTGTTGCTTTCTATGGTATTTTGAAAACCCAGGAAGCAGAAACAGTAAAATTGGTTTTCACTTACCTTGCTTTATTTTTTGTAGTTGCTCAGTATAAATTGGGCTCATAAGGGTGTATTTAGGATCATGTACTCTGAGGTCAAAAATCATTTTACTGATGATTTCAACATCAGGCCACTGATCAGTGCTAGACTGGGCAATTTTGTTGTCCTCTGTATGACCTACAAAAGTAAAATTCATCAATTACCAATTAAATTCGAATTTAATCAGCATTTACTGTACAATTTATTTGTTGTTTTCTCTTATAAAAATTCATGCATAACTTTCAGTAATTTTTACAACTACACCAAATGAGAAATGATTTGCTTAAGACTACAGCCAAGATCCTATTCCACATTTGCATGTAATAAATTTCCATTCAAGAAGTTGTGCTGAATCACAACAGTGTACAATGGGCACTGCAAGGCTGAGATCCCCATTGTACAATCCCAGTTAAGAATGCTAGGAATTGCACTTGCGAACACTCGAAGAAAGGATATCTGCTGTGGAAATCTTTACATGCTTAAGAAACATTTGCTCAAATTCATTTTGAGATTAATATCACAGGAAATAAAAAGTACCGTATTTTTTGCACCATAAGACGCACTTTTTTCCCCTCCAAAAGGGGGGTAGAAAGTCTGTGTGGGTATTTTGAAAACCCAGGAAGCAGAAACAGTAAAATTGGTTTTCACTTACCTTGCTTTATTTTTTGCAGTTGCTCAGTATAAATTGGGCTCATAAGGGTGTATTTAGGATCATGTACTCTGAGGTCAAAAATCATTTTACTGATGATTTCAACATCAGGCCACTGATCAGTGCTAGACTGGGCAATTTTGTTGTCCTCTGTATGACCTACAAAAGTAAAATTCATCAATTACCAATTAAATTCGAATTTAATCAGCATTTACTGTACAATTTATTTGTTGTTTTCTCTTATAAAAATTCATGCATAACTTTCAGTAATTTTTACAACTACACCAAATGAGAAATGATTTGCTTAAGACTACAGCCAAGATCCTATTCCACATTTGCATGTAATAAATTTCCATTCAAGAAGTTGTGCTGAATCACAACAGTGTACAATGGGCACTGCAAGGCTGAGATCCCCATTGTACAATCCCAGTTAAGAATGCTAGGAATTGCACTTGCGAACACTCGAAGAAAGGATATCTGCTGTGCAAATCTTTACATGCTTAAGAAACATTTGCTCAAATTCATTTTGAGATTAATATCACAGGAAATAAAAAGTATAACCCCATGTGCAACAGGAATTGTATAGTAATGATACAATAGGATCCTGGTCTACAAGATTAGGACGAATAAAAATGAGAAATTATACATACATAATCATAATGATCATAGTAATTATTATTTATAAACTATTTATTTATAAACAATTATTATTAAGTCACCGTCTTATGTCTGTGTATGCCTGCTTGACGGATTACACAGCTTTCAATTGAGACTAAACAAATTCATGAAGAATGCAAAATTACACTTCGGTGACACTGTGGATTCTCTATTGTATCTGTACAGCAGATCTAAAGTGTTTTTATGAGAGCACTCTACTACAGTTCCAATTGATTGTGGCTGGTCACATTTAGTCCCAGAATAAAAGGTTCCCCTTGACATTTAGTCCAGTCGTGTCCAACTTTAGGGTGCAGAGCTCATCCCTGTTTCCAAGCCACAGAGCCAGTGTTTGTCCGAAGACAGTTTCTGTGGTCACGTGGCCAGCGTGACTAGACATGGAACACCATTACCTTCCCACCGAAGTGGTACCTATTTATCTACTGGCATTTTACATGCTTTCAAACTGCTAGGTTGAAAGGAGTAAAACAGGCTTACAAATTTACCTTTACAGACTACATTGAAAAAGCTTTTCCTTAAAAAGTTTTTCGTCTACCTAAAGGAATCTTTACAAATCCAGTTTCTAGCTGGATCAATACCTCCTGAGATTTTATTTTATTTTCAAAGATAAATAAAAAAATTAAAGACTTCAGACTTGGAGTTTCTGACAAATGAACTTCCCACTGGAACTGCCATACCCCTAAGCTCTACCAGACATTATAAAGCCCATAACAAAAATAAATTGTGCCTACTGCAGGTTCGAAAAAGGTACAGGAAGGCATGGGGGAAAACACTCATCCTCACAGCATTAACCTCTGGATGATGGGAAAAATACTGAAATTTTCAGCGACAAATTGGGAGCTAGCTTCCACAAGGGCAAATTCCCTATCTGGACATGCCCTTTGACAGAGAGAACTGACCCTTAGAAATGAGAACTGGTCCTTTACTTACCGATATTAATCTCTTCTTCATCATATACATCCACCTCCAACAATCTGATCAACATGCGAAAAAGAATTCGTAGGAACTGCAAATAAGAGCCAGTTTTCCCAACCTAAATTCAGACCAAAGGAGGGGGGGAAAAACCACACCCTTTCAGAAGCATAGTACATATTGCAATACAAAAAAAAAAACATTTGTACCTGCTCTATAAGATCACTTACAAGTGGAGGAAGATAAAACTTCCATGTGAAGATTCTGTACTTTCATGGAAATGAGAGTAAGAACCACAACCTGCAAATTATGAAGAATGCCAATGGCCACCTACAAATCACCAGCACCATTCAAGATTCACTTGGGGGCTATTTCCCCTTCCCCCTGACTTGTGGTTCACACTAAAGGTATACAGAGCTGGGCTTCGTGCTACCACTCCCACATCTGAATGGGTCACAACTTCATTTTAAGCCATTAAGGTTTGCCTTTTCACCCTCCTCACACGTGATTTCACTTTTCTTATTGGGAGGAGTTTAGAATAGCTGTCTACCGCTTGTCTTTTTCCTGTTTTCTCTGAGCTAGAAGTAGGGAAGTAATTCTCTTAGAGATAATCCTCACTGTGTTGTGTAATACACACCCATCAGACATAGCTGCCTATATTTCCTCATTTGCTGGAAGTGGTGTTTTTCACAGAGATCCAGAAATTCATAATAGCCGCTCAAGTGGTAGAATATGCCAGATGAGTGGGATATAAATCAAATAAATCAAATGAATGAATGAATGAATGAATGAATGAATGAATGAATGAATGAATGAATGAATGAATGAATGAAATACAGCCACAGATGAGGATCGGGTTCAAATACCTCCAAAATAGAAAGTTAAGTCTGGTCTGTCAGCCCTTGTTCAGTCACAGACCAGGTAGGAGGCAACACCCTTCAGCTCATTTTAACACAGAAAATTCATTCACATCAACAGAAAACATTTGATTTTTCATTCAGTCATGTGAATAATTTTAATTTAAATCCGTTTCTCTTCCTTTTTAAATTCAAAGAAAGAATGATTCTCAAAAGAGAGGAAAAGAGAGAAAAACAATGCTTTGGTAAACATAAGTAAACACAAGGGGTGATCTCCATTCTTTGATTCCTTAAAGAGAAAAAAAAATCCCTCTGCTTGTGTAAGGGGGCTGGTCCATTAAGCAAAAGAAGCCTTCCTTCCTCCAAATACAGATCAACTGCATTCTGCCAGAAATTTGATGTGCTGATGCTTACATTTCCTTTCGGCTCAGTGATGTACTGTATGCACTAGAGACACAGTTTGTTTGTTTGTTTGTTTGTTTGTTTGTTTGTTTGTTTGTTTGTTTATTTATTTATTTATTTATTTAATTTTTACCCCGCCCCTCTAGACAACGTCTACTCGGGGCGGCTTACATCAGTTAAAACAAGTTAAAAAACATATAAAATGCATTTATACTAATTAGTTCTAAACAAAAGGTTTCCAAGATGGTGGTATACAAAA